TTTGAGTGACTCCCCCACAGTAGTTCTACCCAAGGTTGTGAAGACCCTCTTTCCATTCTTGTACTACTTGTTCATGGATAATAGACCAAGATTCATACTGTCTTCCCTGACTCCAGTGACATGGATTGTTTTCTTTTTTCAGTTATACTAGGCAAAGGACTTAACTTCTGATTAACCACAAGCAACTCTCTGAGGCTACAAATCAAAGAACAGGTTCCAATCTGCATTACTAGAGAAAATTTTCTCAGTGGGAGCTTCCTATAATAATGATATCAGAGTTCCAGTACCCCTCCCAAAATATAAAATAATGGCTAGTATTTATATAGGGATTTAAGGTTTTCAAAGCACTTTACCTCATTCTATTCTCACAAGCACCCTAGGAGGTAGGTGCTAATATCATCTCTATCTTAAATATAAAGAAACTAAGTCAAACAAAGGTTAAGTGATTTACCCAGGGTCACATAGCTCATAAGTTTCAAAAGCATGATTTTAACTCATGTCTCTCTAACTTCAAGTCCTGATCTCTATCCACTTCAATAATCTTTTACATCATTTCTTGCCTACAAATCTTCACCGGTAATCTGATACAGCCTTCTCACAACCAGCATGCGGCTTTTCGCTGCCCTTGGAGTCTTAGGGAGTTGCCTGAGGAAGCAAAGGAGTTATAAGTTGTTTGACCCTGATGGAATGGCTAGTATGTGGGAGAGGCAGGATTTCAATCCAGATCTTCTTGAATCTAAAGCTGACCCCCTATCAACAGCACCATGCTGTCTTTCGACCAAAGACTAGTCCAATGGATTTCTGACCTTATTTATGTGACTGTTTCCTCAAAGTCAAGTCAACAAATATTTGTTTGTTTTGGTTTTTTTGGGGGGGGGGCACTAGGCAATGAGGTTAAGTGACTTGCCCAGGGTCACACAGCTAATAAGTGTTATGTTTCTGAAGCTGGATTTGAACTCAGGTCTTCCTGAATCCAGGGCTGGTGCTCTATCCACTGTGCCACCTAGCTGCCCCTCGGCAAATATTTATTAAGAGCTTAACTAGGCCCTGTGCTAAATGCTGGGGATACAAAAAATGGCAAAAGCTGTCTCTGTTAACAGAGTTCATAGTCCAATACCATCCTGGTTGACTATTCCATTTCCTCCCAAATGTTCAACAAGAAGCCCAATGTAGTAGGAGGTTTTCTCATTTTTTCTTGACATCTCAAAGATAGCATCAGAATATGTGGAATTTCCATCATTCATTCCTCACTCTCATCATACGATATGCCCATCCTTCTTTTTTCCCCATAACTTTGTTTTATGGCATCTTGGTATCTTTTTATACTCATTCTTCTCCATGATTCCTTGATTCTCGTGCTGTAATTTGATCATTCCGTTTATGCTTATCTCAGTTGCCCGTTGGGCAATATTTACTTTTGGTGAGAAAAAGATATACACCTGCAACAGCAAGAAACTTGGATTTTATTTTAAATGCCACACAATTTTCAAAATTATGTGTACACCAGTAAATGGGCAACCCATCCTACCATGTGCAGATTATCTGACCAGTCAGCCAGTCTTGGGAGTGACCATCGATCTCCCTAAAGGGTACCCTGGGGTAGTCCACTCAGCACAAAAAGAAGCATACAGAGAATGTTATCATCAATTGGGAGTATCCTTTCTATTTGGTTTTTGTACAGGGCGTCTTCTATGACACTAGTTTCCTTGCACAAATATTTTTCTGGGTATTATCTATCTTAATAGGGATTTTGTTGTTGTTCAGTCATTTTTCAGTTGTGTCCGATTCTCCGTGACCCCATTTGAGTTTTTCTTGGCAGAGACACTGGGGTGACTTGCCATTTCCTTCTCCAGCTCATTTTCACAAATGAGGAACTGAGGCAAACAGGATTAAGTGACTTCCCCCAAAATCACACAATTACTAAGTGTCTGAGGCCAGATTTGAATTCAGGAAGATAGGTCTTCCTGACTCCAGGCCCAGCTATTTATCCACTGTGCTACCTAGCTGCCCCCTTAATATGGATATTGTATAGCTATTTCAATAAAGTTATTTTCATAGCTATGTGTGTTAATGGAATCTTTTGTGATTTAGTTTTAACATCTGCATGAAGACATCATTTGTTAGAGCAGAGCCCTGAAAGCTATACTTTTTGTCATGCTTGTACCACCCACTGAAAGGTACTTATGAACCTTTGTGTGAATCAGTCCTCCATGTATTTGGAATCAAGGCTATCCTTTACACATCCTTCTCATGAGCAGGGCCAGGTGCAATTAAATTATTGCCATCACCTGGCAATTTCCAGAAGCATCTGGCATATCTCCCTAAGTCAGGTGACCAAATGATTTTTTTTGTTGAAAATGTTATTTTAGATGTCAGATAATTATGTATGCATTGAATTCCCATGTAATTAATACAGGGAGAAGACAAGTATACCAATATAAAATATTTCTTAACACAGAATTTAAAAGTTGTAATAGTTTTTTCCTAAGCTTTCTAGGGCTATGACCCCTCTGTCAGATTTCTGCAGATAGTAGTCATTTTTTTTGAATCATATGTGTGTATATATATATATATATGTACACACACATACATATACACACATCTGACATATACTATTATCTGTATTACATTAGGTACATCTCTGAATCTCCCTAAGGCTCACAGTCCTCATTCGTAAAATGAGTGGGGCGGGTTATATGGTCTCTGAGTTCCTCTTAGCTACAGACCAATTTTCCATAATCCTATAAATGGAAGTGACAAATTTTTTTCCTCAGGATTCAATGACAGTTTCCCAATAGTCGCTATACTATTTTGCAACCATGGAGTCTAAGTATTAGAAGTGGATATCACCAAGACTGAAAATAACAGGCCTCTGACTCACTTTCTGCTGGGCTAGTCATGAAAGCAGGCAAGATGAACCTTCCCGTACATGAGAACTCTCCCCAGCACAGTGTGGCTATTTCATAAGTGACTGAAGCTGTAGGAAGTCTTGAAAAGCAGCCAGAGTAGAACTAAAAAAAAAACTTGGAGGTTAACTATCTCCTAGCCTGGCTCAGTCTGCAGTTGCTACTGACGTTACCAAGTGATTGTGAGAAGTAGATGATGGAAACAATGATCATAAAACACTCTACAGACGGTAAAAGTAAACCCAGCATAATGCTTATGGGAGTATTGCTATCCCTTTATAAGCTGGTTTTATGAGTGTAGTACTCCATAAGCTATTCTCTCCTAGGTATATGATGCTTTGGTAGGTGCTACCAAGATTAACTTGTGCACCCAAGCTTGTCTTGAGATCAGCTCGTGTACGTTTAGAGAGACTTATCACTAGAATGTTGGCCACCAAGTAATGATGATTTAGGGCTATGTATACTAATAGACCACCCAATAAAGTACATATGAGTTGAGATATGCATTAACAGAGGGAGCTGGAGAATTAATTGCATCATTATATGATTATGATTAAGTTACTGTGAAGGGGATTGTGGTATTTGTGACATGGATTCCATTGTCAATTCAACTCCTTATGATGTCTAATGAAGATATCCAAATTTTTTTTCTCTTGGGTAAACAGTTAATGGGGCTAAGAGACAACTGGCCTGAGAATCAACTTTTACCTTAAGCTGCCAACCCACCAGTGATCTGATGTCCTCAGAACTACATCCAAATTTTCTACATTCCTTTCACAACTACACAAAGATCATCAGAAGGCCCCATAAGGAAACCCTATTACCCTATTCTCCAAGGTACAGCTGCACTTACAAACCCAATTCACAACGTCAAGGAGCCAGAGGACAACTAAGAGGCAGAGATTTGGAGAAGCAGGGTTCCTCTGAAGGCCAGATCCTGAAAAGTCACATTCTTCAGCTTTCCCAGAGCTACCACTCTAATAACAATATGGATTACGGTTCAGGGCTCCACGGTTGAGGGAGAGGACAAAAGGCAGCAGAAATAACATAGCTAACAAACAATCAACAAGCTTTCATTAAGTGGTACTGTGCTAGGCAATAGACAAAGTCATTTTTTAAATCCCTGCCCTCAAAAAGTTTACATTCTACTGGTGAAGACATAACGTACATATATAAATATATTCTAAATAAATAAAAGGTAATTTAGTAAGGAACGAAGCATTAGTATCTGGGTATCAGGAAGATACTCAGCTACTAATGCTTCCTTACATTATTTGGCAACTGACTGGCTATAGTGAAGGTATCAAGTTGGGAATGACACTAATGTTGAGAAATAAAAAGAAATATGATTCTTTTACTGTTTTTATAGCACCTTCCTGTATTGCCACAAGATAAATGAAGCTCCTAACCTACCTCAATATCAGGAGTTGCAGTATATACAAGTGTAGTTCAATTTCCTGAAATGTGTACATGCTGAAACACTTGGGGCTTTGGCTGTGTCAGCCCACTGGCTAGTAATCTACTTTGAGCTTTAGCTGCTGATCAGACTTCATTGTAAAATATAAATGAACTTTCTATTATTGTTATAGCTGTGTTGCTGTCATTGTTTTTCCTGGATATGTCATTTCATCAGCATAAGGACCTTTCTCTGCTAAGGCAGAGTAACATCTTATCAGGGTCTGAAGAGTCTTAGATAGTTGCCTAAAATCCTGAGAGGCTAATGATACACCAAAATCACGTAATGAATGTGTCAGAGGGAGGAATTAAACCTAGGTTCCCTACCCCAAGGCCAGTCAGGGAGATTTTAAGAAATTAAAAACAAACATCCCTACGACTTAATTACAATCCAAATATAAAAATTTAGTTTGAGGAAAACACTTGTTTAGACTGTAAATGCTTCAGCTTTCGATAGGCAAGAACCACCAAAGGAAGAATGATCAGAACGGAGTGGTGATGATGGTGAATAATATAAAGACCATAAAGTTTCTTTCTTAAGGGATCTCTAAGTCACTTACAAACCTTTGCAAAAATCTGCATTGGTCTTTGTCAACCTAGCACTAATGTTGGAAACTCCCCAAATTCTCTTTTGAATAGGATGGAAAGATATTCTGCCGACGGACTGCTTGTGATTGTCAGAACCCAAGTGTTGATCTCTTCTGCTGTCCAGAATGTGACACCAGAGTTACCAGTCAGTGTTTAGACCAAAACGTACACAAACTCTATCGAAGTGGAGACAACTGGACATACAGCTGCCAACAGTGCCGCTGCCTGGTATGGAAATTAACAGTTCATGTTTCTACACAGGGAGAACACCTTTTACAGCCAATGCATATCTATGCAAATCCCAGAGCAAGGGAAAGATTTCAATGGTTCACAAGGCTCAATGTAATTCATAGGTAGCAAAAATCACTTTTTCCCTGGGATTCATTGTAAGAGGGTTTCATTTTCTGTAGTGATGTCACAGTTCTGATACTAAGCCTGGTTAGAACTGATTCTAAGGAAAGTTAGGAGTGGGGAATTCACTCAGGGAAATCAAATGCCTTAAAGATATCACAAATGACATTCATGAGCTTATCAGAATCAGCAAAATCAGAAGAAAAGGCATATAATTCTGGGAGTTTTGTGTCTGAATTGTACAAAGAATATGACATATAACATAATACTCTTAGGGATCAGTGGAGGATAGAAAGGCATGTAGAGTAGGGTTTCATTAATTAATGTGACTTTCTGGCTATTAGTTTGGTCACAACTACCTACCCTTTCCTGAGCACAATACTTTAATTCTTATAGACCTATGACTTGGTAGATGTTGGTTATTCCTTTCAATTAACTAGATTGTAGTCCTTATATGGTTTATATAGCCCATTTGGATGAGGAGCCTCCACAAATTTAACTATCTTGATTCTCAGACAACACAACATGGAAAAAACACATTATCTTTCTCTGCCTTCCTTTACCACTAGGCTCTACCCATTCTTTAATGCAACATCTGAATAAATGTCTAATGACAGTGATGAAAATAAAAGGATCATTCCCCTTGCAATGGTAAGAAGTGAGACTGAAATAGGATCAGTTTAGTTCTCCTGGCCCATAAGTGCAGCCATTCAGCCTTTGGGAGGTCCTGGCAGAGTCAGTGGTTTGCACTGCATAACCTTTTGAAAAGTCAGGGTCACATCCTCACTCTAACAACACATAAGACTTCGGTGGAACCTTCAAATCCTATTAGTTTTGGCCTGAAATTTCTTTCATTTAACTCACATTATTCATTTCGGGAATATATAAGATTCTCGAGGTCAGGGGCTGTTTTTCATTTTGATTGTATGTCTTTATCACATGGTAGAGCATCTTGTCCATGGTAGGTGCTTAAAAGATGCTTATTGGATGATACTGAATTTGGGAAATGAAACAAACAATGCATTTTTAAGAAATGGATTTTATAACTTATAAATATGAGATCAGCTATGTTTTGTTTATTCTTAAGTCATGAAATTTCTGAGTAAATAATGAATAATACTTTAAGATAAACATCCTAAGTCATTTATTTTTCTAAATTGTCACATTTTCTGTGGTGTCCACTTTCCCTGAAATTTTTTTTGCTAGTATCTATGATAGAAAACTTCCTTGATGTGTCAAGAAAGCGTATGTCTTTCATAATAGACTGATGAAAGTGAAGATTAATGAGAATCCTAATTATAGCAATTTTTCCAATTTCCACAATGAAAAGAACCAATCTCAATCCCTTCCCAACTATATACTAATTTCCTTTACAAACTAACAAGTCAGATTCCTTTTTTTAAGGAAACAAATCAGAATACTCTCCTACCCTAGAGTTTTTTGTTTATGATAACAAGAAGCTTATAGTTACAGATTCAAAAAAGTAGTATGTGATTCTTTCCAACATCATACTGAAAGTGGATTGTTGCTATGTATGGGATTCAGCCATGAATGGCTTCAGTCTAAATGAATTCAGATTTCACATAGTTAAAATGAGATCATGTTTATGAAAGAGTTCTGAAATATGTAAAACACCATGCACATGAGAGGAATTTTTATTATTGTGTTGTCCTAGGGAAAAGTACTGTGAATGAGTATGTTTTTTTTTTAATTAAAATATTTTGCTTTTTCATCACTTTCATTTCCAAATACGTGAATCTTTAACATTTTTAAAACTTACTAACTAACTTAAAAACCTAACTTACTAAAACTTTTGGAATGCCATCTATTTCTCAACTCCTCCCTTCCCAGAGCACCATGACCTTTTGAAAAAAAAAAAAAAAGAAAGAAAAAAAAGGAGGGAAGGAAGCACTTCAGCAGAAATAATACAAATGCCAACCAAGTCTGAAATTATATGCAATATCTTACACTGATTTCTATCTCTAAAAAGTAGAATTCTTTTTTTTTTCAGAACCAGGCTTGGTCATTTTAATTCTGCAATGTTTATTCGTTATTGTTGTTCTTTCCATTTACATTGTCGTACTTAATGTGCATATTTTTACTGCTTCTACTTATTTATCCCTGTATCAGTTGTTGTGAATCTTCCCATGTTTCCCTATTATTCATCATTTCTTAAACACAGCAATATTTCATTTTATTCATCATAATATATGTGGTCATCTCCCCAAACAATTGGCATGCACTTTGTTTTTAGTTCTTTGCTACTGCTAAAAATGTTACTATAAGTATTTTGATGGACCTTATTGTCCTTTATTTTCTTGGGACATATGCCATCAAGCAGGATTTCTGAGTTAAGGGGTATTCACATTTTAAGCCAATTTCTTAGGACAATTACAAACTGCTTTCTAGAATTGCTCCAACAAGAATGCATCAATGCTACTGTCTTTCCACGGCCCCTCCAACATTGACAATTCTCATCTTTGCCAATTTGCTGAATGAGATGGAGCCTCTAAGTTATTTTGACTTGCATTTCTTATCAATATTTTGTAGATTTTTTTAATATGGTTGCAAATAGTTTGTAATTCTTCTTCTGAAAACTATTTGTTCTTACCCTTTGCCCAACTATGCACTGGACAATGGATTTTGAACAACTTTTTTTTAATAGTACCCTATACATTCTCAATATCAAACCTTTTTCCAGTGATGCAATACAAATATTGAGTTTAAGTTTTCAGTTACATTTATGCATGTGCCAGAACCTTTCAGCAAACAACTCCTAGATAAACTGACCATAACTGTTCAGTTACAACAATATAATCACCTGCATTGGTTGTTCCAGTCAAGTTCTATTGAGTTAATTTAATTTTACAAACTTTTATTAAGCACTTACTCTGTGCCAGACATGATAGGTGGGCCAAGACAAAGCAGAATGGATACTACCATTAAAATAACTGCTACTAATCCCAGAGACACAGCCTAAAATCCTGGTCTTCATTTCTAGCCACTTGGTGAATTTTTAAAAGTCGTTATCTTTGTCTCCCTTCCATTCTCTGTCAACCACTAGACTTATTTTTTTTTTTTTTTGGAAAGAAAGTTCTTTGGTTCTATAAATTTATAAGTCCCCTCCCATATCTTTGAGATTACCACCATGTAACCTCAAGCAAGACATTTAACCTCCTTAAGTCTCAGACTCCTCATCTATACAATGGGGATAATAATAGTAACTGCCTCATAGCACTGTTGTTAAGGTCAAAAGAGATTACATATTGGTGAGCTATGATGATTTTTATTATCTTCAATGACAGTGGTCAAAATAATGACATTCCTCTTCCCTTTGCAGCTCTTAATGAGAAAACTAAGGTAGACTCGATGAGACATTTATTTCTCACTCTGTAGGAAGGAGAGGTGGATTGTTGGCCACTCACTTGCCCCAACCTGAGCTGTGAATACACTGCAATCTCTGAAGGGGAATGCTGCCCCCGCTGTGTGAGTGACCCCTGCCTGGCAGACAACATCGCCTATGACATCAGAAAGACCTGTCTAGACAGCTATGGCGTGACAAGACTTAGCGGTGCCATCTGGACAATGGCTGGATCTCCCTGCACGACCTGCAAATGCAAGGTAACCCGATAACATGTACTTGTGAAAATAAGTCTTCATGTCGCACACAAATTTCTATGGATCATATTTATGCTGGTCCACATCCAAAAGTTCCTATATGGCTTCATGAGATATTGTAAATGAAATACGGGCTAAAATGGTACTTGCTCCTGCGCTGAAACAGAGCATTGTAACAGCCTATATCAATCTACTTACGCTGACGTGTGCCTTTTTTAACCTGCACAGAAAAAAAAAAATTGGTTTCCTTTGATCATGGAAAGTTTTGAAAGCACTTTCAAGAAATTGTCAATGTTGTATAAAATGCTGTATGAAGTGGGCGCTTTTTTTCACCTTCATTTCACAGTAACTAAGGTAGGAGATCTGGAGTTACTGCTCACAGGCTCTAATTTACCATGATCACTTTTCATACTTTTTGGCTGGTATTCCCTTGAGGCGTCTCTATGTTTTTTTTTCTTTTTTTTGAATACTGACTTCTTATCCTCCACCCGAGTCTAACCCAGTCCTATGGAGTGTCTCTTCGTGTGTTAGGAAATACACTACATAATTTCTTGAACTTGATGCTGCCTACCTAGTTATAGCAGATTGTAGTTCCAATCCAAGTTTCATGGGAATTATCCCAACTGCATCCCTTTGCATATCTAACTTCAGATGCAAAAACAGAGTAAAAGAGGGGTCTATGTCCAAACCTCAGATACTGAAGGGTTACAATCAGGTTTCCGTACAAAAATGAGCGTCCAAAAGGAGCACCTTCAACCTTAGGAGCCAGAGTTCACTGGATACAGATATGGGAACCAAATCCTTTCTGAAACCATTGGTTACTTCTGAGGTCAGAGATGGGACATATTAATGGAGACGGTATAAGGCATAACTTATTTTAAATAAAGCTAGCAGAACTGGCACATCCATTGAGAAGCTAGGTGGCACAGTGGATAGAGCTCCAGCCTTGAAGTCACAAGGACCTGAGTTCAAATGTGACCTCAGACACTTGACACTTACTAGCTGTGTGACTGTGGGCAAGTCACTTAACCCCAATTGCCTCATCAAAAAGCAAAAAAAAACAAACCAAAAGAAAAAAAACAAAAAAACCAAAAAAAAAAAAAAAAAAAAAAACCAGGCACATCCAAATGATTCTTTCTCTTCCAAAGTAGGGAATCTATATATTCCAGTGCCACTGAAAATGTTCTCAAAAAGTTTCTGGGAACTGTCTTTAGGGCCCTAGGCTAGATAATATCTAAAGGCTCTTCCAACTCTAAATCCTATGTTTTGAGTAATGTCAATGACATTGGAATAAATTACTATTTCAAGGGGTCCAGCACTCATTTGTATTGATAACTTCTAAAAATAAATTTAAAAGGTTTCTTTTAAAAATAAATCATCCAATCCCCTCATGAATTCCCATGTATTTTATCTGCTGACATATTTTCCTGGAAATTAGTTCCTCCTTTAGTTGGTTTCAAAATTGCCAATTGTCATTTTGGAGATATACATACATATGTGTGTGTATGTGTGTGTGTATATAATATCTAATATATACACATATGTATTACACACACCCCCACACATATATACTGTATATATGTATTGCAAGGGACTAACCTGTACTCAATGCCTGGCACTACTAATACTTGCTTCTTTATTTTACAGAATGGAAGTGTCTGCTGTTCTGTGGATTTAGAATGTCTTCACAATAACTGAAGTATTTAGCATGGACTTAGAAGGGTGAGGAAAACAACAGACACAGAGATCTTTTAAAATAATGAAGAAGTTGGTGTTTTATACCACAGACAATTACCAAAGGCTCCATCAAACGAAGATATTTGGGAGCTGCCTTTTGGGACCTACCACTATGCTCATTCTTGCTAACCTAGTCTAGGTGACTTGCAGTCCACACATATAAGTCTATGACTGTTTAAAAAAAGTCTCCTGTGTTGTAAATCACCTCTCTCCCCTATCAGGTCATTTGAAAACACACTGAAATGTTTTCATGGTAAACTTGGCTGTGATTTTTGGTTTATTTTGTGTATTGACATGAGAGAAACTTGCCCCCTCCCTTCCTTTTTGATTTCTGGAGCTAGTCTAGATTCTACCAATAAAGCTTCCTGGTGTGATTTTTGTCCTATCCACTAAATCCTCAGTTCTGATATTCCTGTCAGACGTGTAAATATGTATGTTTCTATAGTTAGAGTCCGGAGTAGTACCCCTTTGCCATAGATTTTGGGCTTTTGAAACACTCCAAAACCCTCTTAACAAATAGAGGCTCCAGGCAATCAAGGCAGAATTGGGTGATGCAGGCAAGGAAGGAAGGATTGGCAGGAAGAAAAGCCAGAAACTTTGTAAAGTGATGAAAAGTACCTTCCCCACAAAAGGACAGCTACACTTCAGTATCACCAAGTGATTTACTGTGGGTGCTCACTCTAGCATCACAACTTACAACCCATTCCTTACTTTTCATCCTATGCAATGAATTCTTTAGCCATGGAAAGTGAAGAAATGTGGAAAAATCACAAACAAATCCCAGAACCAACAAAGCAGTAAACAAACGAAGGCATCAAGGCAAAGATACACAACACTGGAACTTTTTTTTTCCTTCCCTATCTGGGACTGCCATTTGGTTACTGTGGGGAACTCTGGGTATGGAAATTCCCTCCACTCATTCAGATAAACAACTGTCTGTAACATATATTTCAACCCCAAGGGTTCTTAACATTTTTTGTGTCATGGACCCTTCTTTGGCATTATGGTGAAGCCTGTAGACCACTTCACAAAAATATTTTTAAATTCATAAAATAATTTAATTAATTAGTGGAAACCAATTATATTGAAATAGTCATCAAAATATTTCAAAAATCAAAATCACAGACCCTGTGAAATCTATCCATAAACTCATTAGAGAGTTTATGAAACCTAGGATACAAACCTCGGCCTGAGAAAGTTGCCCAAAGGGACTGAAAGATCAGATGACTTGCCCATGGGATCTTTGGTCACCCAACCAGTCTGTATTAGATGTAGGCTTTGAGCCCAGGTCTTCCTGACTCCAATGCCAGTTTCCTATGTGGTATGCCCTACTGCCTTTCTTGAAACTATATCTCATTAATAAATAATAATAAGCTTTTATATCTATTATTATCTTATTCAGTCTTCACGATGACCCTGTTAGATAAGATAGGCACATTACTCTCCTTTTAAAGATGAGAAAGGGGCAGCTAGGTGGCGCAGTGGATAGAGCTCTGGCCTTGGAGTCAGGAGGACCTGAGTTCAAGTCTGGTCTCAGACACTTAACACTTACTAGCTGTGTGACCCTGGGCAAGTCACTTAACCCCAACTGCCTTACCAAAAAGCAAAGAAATAAAATAAAATAAAGATGAGGAAGCTGAAATATAGGAGAGAGAGCTAAAACTGATCCACCAAGGTCAGACACTGACTATAGGCAATTGATAACCAAGATGAAAATGGAATCCATATGTCTTGTTTCCCAGTCTACAGCCCCTTGTATGATATACTGCCTCTCGATGAAGCCATCAGAAGACCCCAAGAACAGCCCTACTAGTAATATTTTTGCTATAGTCAAGGTTTCCATCTAATTTGTTGCCACACCAGTAGTTACTGAATTTTGACTACAGATTCAACAAAAGGTGTAAATCATTTTGTTTTAGTCAATAAGTCTAATTTATGTTGTTAGAATTTCAAGCAAATGGCACCTCAGAGGTTAGTCTTAATGTTTTAATTTCCATTAAGTGTAAGTATTTATGAACCAATTGGGTTGATTTTTTTTAAACTCTCCAGGCATTAAGAAAGACCTCATTTATTAATGCAGTTGTGCACAAAACGCTACCTAAAAACCTAAATTTGGACTGAAGCAGTAATTAAAATTTGCAAGCCTCCATTGCAGTGATTTCCTCGGGTTTGGTCAATGGAGATATGACTTCTAAAGTTCTTAAAGAGTTAGCAGCATTGAAACAACTTCATCCTAGGCAGGATATCAAATGGAGAGTTTCAGTGCCACATTTAACATCTACTGTGGGGCTCTGGAATAATTTACATACATCTCTTTTATGTTCATATTTTAGATAAAACAGACTGAGGAAGGTATATTATTCCTAAAATAATCCAGTTCTACATTTTAATAATAGCTAACATTTCCACGGTGCTTTAAGGTTTACAAAGGACTTTGTATCATCTCATTTCATCCTCAACATTTCATCCACAACAACCCTGTGAAGTCACTGCTATTATCTCTATTTTACAGATTGGGAAACTGAGGTCGGGAAAGGTTCAGTGATTCACCCAAGGTTATACAACTACTAAATGTCCAAGTCAGAATTTAAACGCAGATCTTGCTGACTCTATGTCCCACTTTCTATCTACTACTCCACTTAGCTGATGTAATTTGGGATACCTAAAAGAATAAAGTGCACATTTTCATTGAAAAAGAGGAAATTTATGCGGTTGCTATGTGGCTGTGTATGGTGACTGCTTTGAGTGGGTTATGAGTTGTCTACTTTAGATCCTGATTGTTCACATCACTTCCCAAGGATTTGAAAAATCCTAGTTTTCTTCGAAATCACTTAGTTTTCAGTTGCCAGTGTCATCAACAATGAGTGCTCTTCCAAAAACACCCATATTTTACAAGGGAAGTCATAAACACTTACATTTAATGCATCCAAATATAAGCTTGGGTTCAAGTGCTGACGCTACCATATATTACCTCTGGACTTTAAGCAAGTCTTTCTCTGAGTCTCAGTTTTTGCTCTGGGATCTCTTCTGACTCTACTTATGAATCGATGATCATAAGTTTAGGAAGCTATCATAGTAGAAATACTCTCCAGCGACAGAGATTTATCATTTATTTCTAAGCTAGTCTTAGAGTTGCCTGAAGCTCTAAGAGAGTAATTGATTTGCCCATGGTCACATGGCTAAGTCTTGAACCCAGGTCAAGAAGACTTTGATTAAGGAAGACTCTAAAGCAAACAGATCCTGAAAATATGGTAATTATATCTCATGATAAAATATAACTGCAATACAACAGTTTCACTTAAAATTTAACCAGAACACACCAATTAGGAAATCAACCTGGACATTTTAACAGTCTTAAGTTTAGAGATGTCATCCTTTGATAAAGGTAACAATTTATAAATACAGGATTTCCTCCAAAGGAATTTAAATAGGCATTATCATACAATTTTCACAAGAGGAAAGATCACTTGATGACCCACAGTAGGAACATATTAAAAGGCTGAAAGGACAACGCTCATATGTAGGTCAGAAGACTGCTAATTGCTTCACAGATAAAGGCATCACTAATGCAAACGATGAAGACCAATAAAAGATCAATTGGAGATCATCCAATCCAATATTCTTATTTTACAAATGAACCAGTTGAGACAGAGATGGGAAGAGACTTGCCCAAGGACACACAGCAATTAAACAGGCAAACTGAAACTAGAATCTAGGGCTTCTGATTTTGAATCCAACAACACTTTTGCTACACCACACAACGAATGACTCAGACAATCTCTCTAAATCTAACTTTAGAGTTAGCTCAACTTACTCTTACTAACAGAACGGTGCTAAAAAATGGCTCATAATCTAACTGTATCTATAAGCAGAAAGTGGTGGGTGCCTATTTGAATATGAGAAAGAGAATAATGGATAATACAACACATCCCTATTAAAAGCCCTTTATTGAAACAATTATTTCTTTTAAAGAAAACCTCATAGTATCAAGAAATAATTTTACTCAGCCTCCTATTTTGCAGGCAAATAAAAGCTTTTCAAAACAGGTCCTCTTTTACCTCATGTCTCCTTATTTGAGTTTTTTGACACTAAAGCAAAACCTCTAGTATTTAGAGATCATTCTACATTGGGCACATTGTCTTCTTATTCCTGTCTTTTTTACTCATTCATTTCTTTTTCTTTTAAAATATTTTTTAACTGAACCTGTGCTTTCATGAGAGGAGATGGCTCCCTGTAAGAACACCTTCTAACAAGGTACACTGGTTCGTTCTCTGTGAGTTATATATAGTCCTAGGTGCTGGGATTAATGGTCGTGCCAAAGGGTCACACAGTCAACATATGATAAAGGTGAGATTTAGATCTAGTCTACTTGAATCTTAGGCCAGTCCTCTAGCCATTATGCTATGTTTCCTCTCATTTTTACCAGTAAGTAAGTACCCACAATGTGCCAAACGCTGTGTCATATGAAGTCTGGGAGACGAGAGAAATAAAAAACATCGCCCGCTGTTGAATTTAGAAAATAAACTATGTACCCGAAACAATGAGACAATGATGACATGTTAGCCCTGGAAGTAATCCTGGCGGTTCACCTAGTTCCAGCACCGCATTAAGTGAAGAAACTGACATGCAAAATATTGAAGTGATCTGCCAATATTCAGAACGCTAGCAAACAGATGAGCCAGTTCTTCTGACCACCAGTCTAGTGTTCTTTCCACTAGGCTAATTCACAGAAGAGTGAAAGGAACAGTAAAAGGTAGATTGTGTGTCTCCAAGATAGTGTAATATGAAGTGAGCCCTTGAAACTCTTCACTCTAACTGAACACTCTTCATATGAAGTCCTAGTTCTATCCTTTTGACATCTGGATCAAGCACCCTCAGTGCTTGGCCTGGCTTCTCCTGCCAGAGGTGCAGGTCTCAACCTCTCTGGAATTTCACAGATGATCTTTAAGAGGTGCTGTGAT